GCACGTAAAAAACAGCTTCAGAGTAGCCTAGCGGGAGCTTTTCGTTGGTCTCGAAACAAGATTACCACCCGTATGATGTGTACCTACTCTCAGCTTTTACCCTCCCGCGGGTGGTGGATTTTTTTTGTTTTTCCTTTTTTCCTCGCTCCAGCCGCGTAATAAACGGTCACAGCGAGCGTCCTCCGCCCCTTTGCCGGAGAAGAAGAAACAGAGATAAGTGCATTAAGAGAATTCCGCGTTCGCGATGTTCCCGAAAACCACCAATACACGGACTCCGTACAATGGTCGCGCGCGCACGTGTGTGTGGGTACGTGCATATATATATATATATATATATATATATATATATATATATATACACACGCACGAGGGGGAAGGTAAAGAGCCAGAAACAGGAAAAATGAAAATAAAGCCAGTGCGCCTCTGAAAGCCCTGCACCGCGACTTTTCTCATCCCTTATTCGTAGATGTAGCCGAGCAAAGGGAAAAACTTTTGTTGTATCCTTTTAGGTATACCCACACGAAACTTGCTTTTTCCGGGCGCTACCGCGCGGAGCTCAAAAATTTTTCAGCATCCCCGCGGAGATTTACTTGCGGCTCAAGGGCTGAACCCGATACAAATTTCGACCGATGGTATTCGAGTTTGTCGAAATTGCCTCTTGGAGCCGCATACTTTTTTTTTCGAGTCACTTTGACTTTTTTCATCCTTTCGTTCCATGATTTCTGTCGAAGGAATAAACAGTTAGTAAAGATATCCTACGTCCATCTTAATGGATCGGATGGCAGAGGGACGGACTTGTAATACAGTGAGTACTAGGTTCCAAGCCACGATCACTCTGCCGAATGGAAAGTCAATCGCTGCGTAGTGACGCAAGTAACAACCTGCAGTACAAACGTCACGTACATTTTCTACGGCATATTTTTTTTTTTTTTTTTTTACTCTAAGCTCAATTGCTCAATGCATAAGATATAAACATTCGGTTGCAAGTACGGGAAAATGTTTAAACAAGCAACTTGGCTGGAAGAAATCCACTTTCAAGTTCTCCCGTATCGCAATCACAGATACCTCATCATCCCCCACGGCAAAAGTGAGCGCATACACACAGAAAGGAGGTACATACGGGGGGGTGTGTGTATTATCTATATATTCGTGTACAAATACATATACACACACACATTTCGCGCTCGGATAAAACGAGGGAGTCGGGGACCCGCCAAACTAATCAGACTCGACCAATCCGCGTTGTTATATTCCCGTGGGCCCCTCCTTCGAGCCGGACAAGATAATTTAAACTTTCGCCGGTGCACAGAGCATATACACACACCCAACTGCATCAGCGGTGACGGTGCGTATCTACTTCGAATCAAGCTCTCTCTCTCTCTCTCTCTCCCCGACCTTTGCTTCATCCCGATTTCTCATTCTCCCCCCTTGTCGCGCGAGTTTTCTCCCCCCACCCCCTTATACGTATACGCGATCGCACGATAACGCCCGTCCGATCCCTCTGATCTCCCAACATGCCTACACAACATATTCATATACGTGAGTATGAACATATACTATATAGAGAGAGAGAGAGAGCCCATCGTTTTCTCTTTCGAATGAGATTTCATGCCCCGACTCGGGAGTACGTACGGGCATTTGCATTCTCGCGAAATTCAAATACGCGCACCTATGCACTCCCACCCCCCGGTAACCCGAGGCGCACTGCGGCTGATTACCTATCCACCCTCTAGTTTTTTTTTTTTTCCATCCCTACGCACACATCGTCCCTCCCGAGCCTATATTATACGTGTATATGCGGGCCGAGGTGTGTGCATGAGAATGATAATTTAAACTCGGCTCGTGTGTTGGCTGCATGTGCGCTATATCAGGATCATAACAGTGTAATGTAATACATCAAGCGGCCCGAACAATTATAAACTCTATATGCGTGGGAGCACGTGTGCACTTCGTTTGCGGGGAGGGGTGGAATTGGTATAGGTATATATGCGTATACACGAGCAATTTGGCCAACGAGGCTCACGGGTCGCATGACGACGGAGAGGAGCCGGTCGATCGAGCGTAATGTCTCTCTTTCGGCGTGTTCCGTCACGGCGGAGGATCGGAGTAGCCTGGGGGGTTAAGTTTAAGCAGGGGAGCGAGAGACCCCATTGCCACTTCGGGGGGGACGATCCACGCGGGGTGTGCGGGCCGATGTAATCGGTGCAGCGAGCCTTGAAACATTACGCGGAATAAGCGCGGAAAAATTGCCCAACCATGCCGGATCATAATCATCGTCGCCCCTTCTCCCCTGTACTTTTTTTTTCTCTCCGACCTTCATTTATCGAGCTTTCGCACGCTGCCCGACTCGAGCGTTTATCCGACTTTTTTATACCGGAATTTCTCGCCCCCCCCCCCTCCGTGTCTTTTGCATCATATACGGGCTCAGCGAAGCTTTTTTTGATCTGTGCGTCGGTGGAACTAGTTTTTAATGACTCTCAAGCTGTAAATCAAAGTGCGTATCGTTAGTACTTAAAAAATAAAAGGGTTTGAGGGAAAAAACATCCCGATAGAACTCTATGCATCTTTTTTTTAGCCCAAATTGTATTTGAGAAACAGTTGAACCAAATACTATAATCACTAATTTTTTTTTTTTTTTTTCTTTATTTTAAGCATTTGGAGAAAAATCCAAATGATGTATTATGTATCTGCGCCGTTGAAGTTGGCCCCAAGATCATTAGTGCGATATAAGAGATAGAGAGACGAGCAATTTTTTTTTTGTTTCCTTGAAATGTCATGGATAATAATAATAATTGAGGCCGGAGGCACTAACTCTTTGCTCCAGTGGTACCACGGAGGCGGGGTTTTTCGCACCACCGGGCGCGTATACGTATATGTATGTATATGTACCGCAACAACGGGTCCCGGTGAGTTACGTGCATTATACGCGGGCCAAAAAAGGATGTCTCGCGCGTGAAATATATATACACCTACGCGGAAAAGGCCAAGTTTTCGCGGAAAAATTCGTTTTTCCCGGTCAAAGTAAAAATAAATTGCCCGCCGCACTTGCACCCCACCGCCAAAGGCATATTCGTGCCCACCTCTGCGGCTGGCTAGATTTTCCCTCTCCCCCCTTCCAACGGCCGCGCGAGATTTAACGCTGGCGCAGGATTAGTGGCTTTCGCCCCGTCCTCTTGGCGTTTGTACGCTGCCACCACCCCTTCCTCTTCCATCCTTTTTTTTTTTTTTCCTCCATGCAACAGCTCATCCTCTCTTTGTTTCTTCTTGGCGATGAAAAATCCCCCGCCCGACCTGTTAAACTCGATGCCCGATAGAGACGACCCCGAGATGTGCCTATACTTACGTTAATTCACGCAATTAATGCTACCGTATTTTAATAAAAATCGTCCTCTTTTTCGAGACTTGCACTGAAAAAGTAGCGCCGTACGCACGCATGTACCTATATATATATAGGTAACGACGCGCTCAGTCACCGAGACGTCAATGCCGAGGGCGCGTTTTCGTTCAACCCGGCGCAGTTTAATTTAAAATAGATTTGCCCCTCTCACGTGTGCGCCCCGAATATACCCACGGAAAAGCCATCAATCAGAGCCCGCGCGCTCCAGAAATTGTCGGCGCCCACATTATACGCAAGCCACGAAATCCGCGAAAGGGAGGGAGGGAGGGGTGGCAGATAGTCGAAACAATCATCGCAAGTTATTATATACATCCCCCTGAAAAATACATAAATTCTCGTTTGGTCGGTAGCGTTGGCGAGTCCATATATAAAAAACACCGCCGACTCGGTACATAATGTCATCGAGGCCCTGTACGATGGTATAGGTATACGTATATATATACATATACGGTGCACACGGGGACAGTAGATTTATGGGCCATCGGGCGAATTTCGCGATTTTCGCGAAACACCACCACCACCACACACGACTATACAATGTATGTATACGTACACCACAGCGCGTAAACGCGGTACGAAGAGCGCGAGGCCTGTTTTTGCTACCGCCGGCTATCCAAATTGTGATGCATGAGTGGCTCTAAAAAGGCTCATACGCTCGGCCATGTACGTATATATGCGTGTGTACACGAATCGCGGCAGCCCCTGTATACCGTTGCTGAAAATTTAGATATTCGTCACTGCCAACTGCCAAGCAGTCCGCACCAGCGACGGCCAATGCCAGGGGGGGTAGGGGAGGAAAGGACTGCAGTAACGAGTCGCGATTTTATCCCACCCCCTACAATACACGTACACGCTGCATCGGTGGCTCGTTTGCTCGGCCAACTGGTATATACACGTGGCCTCTCAATTTGGCTGCCTTTCGTGTGCCTTTGATACTGTCGTTATTACATACATTTTATACTGGTGATGCCGGTTAATGGTCCCGAACTAAACGCCTTTCAGAGATGGATTGCGTCGATGATGATTATCTCTGCCGTTTGTACCTGTAACTCGTGCATTTTGAGAAAGACAATTTACAAATCCTCGATATCACACGCTTCGGCGCATATACATCCACGTTGTTCTTGGATATAATGTAGGTACATCCAGGACGTCCTTCCCGCGAGGGACGAGCCATTCGGTATGTCTAAGCAATGGTTTATTTTTCTCTCTCGCGTAAGCGTTAAGTATACACTTTTAACCCCTCCCCCCCCTCCACGTCAGTTTGTTTAAAACTATCGATCGGATATTCTTGAGAAACAATATCGCTCGAGTGCGAGTTAAGTGGTAATGCATGTATGTGTAAGTATGCGGGAGGATGAGAAGAGTACGTCGAGAAGCCGAATGATCGATGCTCCGAGTGAAAATTCATCACTTAGCACGGGCCAATGTAGGTCGAGATATCATTACACTTCTCCTCGGGTGCGAGTTCCGTTAGTTGCACTTGCGCGCTCGCGTGTCTATATACATGGGGGATGGGGGCAAATGTGTGTGCAGGGGATAAACAACGAGCATACTTTGGCCCAAACTATTTTCATAATAAAACTATTTTCCCGCAACTTACTTGATTTCGGAGATTCCGTCGAGCCGTGCTGCTTCATACCTGCAACACAATACGTTTAACTCGTGTTATTTACCATGTACATATATAGTCTTGAATGTGCCTCAAATGGTCGATCAATTTTGATCAGCCGATATACTTGTTTGTGACGTACACACTTTTTGCAATTGTTCAATTACAATGTAAATTAGTTCGTAGCACATCAGTTAGCTTAGCTAAATGTTTGCGGATGGGTATACGTACACACATACACACACACATATATTATAAAGTTCGCACTGCGGCGAGAGTTTATAGCGTTACAGGTACGCTATATATGTATAGACACACGTATGGTTAAGTGTAAACTCTGTGGGATAGCATCTGGTTTTCAAGTATAATAATGATAGTACTGTCTGAACAATGTTATCTCTCGTCTGTGGGTATAACACGAAGTAGTTACGTGCCGGAGGCACCAAAATCATCCTTGCAGGCAAAGGTCGAAACGTCTTCGCAGGTTTATACACAAAGTACAAAAGTCAAAGTTGTTTACGAGAAATGTACACGTATAACCGAACGAAAAGAGGGGAAGAGGGGGGGGGAAAGAAATATTCTTAACAAGTTTCTCTTTCACGAGTTTCTCTTTCGGTATTTTAATTGGATCCACTTGACACGGATGTCAATTTGGCTTTGGTGGACCGTCGCTGTGCTGGGCCAAAATGTATTTCAAAAGCCAATGGGACTCTATTTAACGCGGCTCGAGACTAAAAGCCCCCGCCCCCACCCTCGGAGAAAAAGTTCTTTGAGCGCAGCCTAATTTCCATAACGCGAGGGCACTTGATCCCACTCGGGCGCAAACCGATGCCGCCCAGCTCGTGTACGCCGTGTACGTGATGTTTATGTGTACGAACGAGCTTTTAGCTCCTTGATAAAGTTGCATCAAAAACTTTGGCCCGACGGAGAAAGAAAAGTCCCACCGAGACGGAGAGCTTGTCAAGCCAACGTTACCCGCAATTTGCCGGTACTTGGCCGAGTCAAAGAGAAAACAAACCACCACCAACCCCCGAAACTTTTTTTTCTTTTTTTCAAGATTCCAAAATCCCCTCTTCTATATTTTTGGACGAATGGATTTGACAAACTCGCGCAAGCTGCGCGAGATTGAAACGCAGCTAATTACGATTCAAAAGTGAACAGTCCACCGGGGATGAGGGAGGGAGGGGGGGCAATAACGCCGAAGCGGCCCCCCCTGCGCGCGATATTCAAATGAAGCGAGAGTTCGGAAATCCAGGTAACTCGGGTAATTAAATTTAACACATTCGAGCGCGGAGAGATTCCCCGCGCGCACCTAATCACACTCTCTGTGTACCTATACATACCTGCCGAGGGACCCCCCCGGGGATGGGGAGGAGGTCACATTTATATACGCGCGTGTACGTACATCCCTTGGCTAACGGCGGATCGTAAGTTCTAAGCAGCTATACGGCAGCCGAGCGATAAGCCGAACGTGGCTAGACTCGGTGCCGCGGCTGCTCCGCCAGGGCCCACGGAGAAGAAGGAAGACGATAAGAGAGAGGGATATCCTCTGGCCCTCCAACTTGGCCTCCTCTCCATTCCTCATCAGTCGCTCTATCGCTCACCCCATACATATATATACCGGGCTCGCGACTATCGAGGCACGGGAGTTTGAGCTTGCGATATTGCGCAGTCACACGTCCTTCCCTTCCTCTCCGTCACCTAGCTCCGGTACTTACTTTCCCGGGAAACACCTACGCGTCGATGTACTTCGATATTCGTGGGCCCCCCACCCCTCGTCTCTGATTTATCCTCGGGTTTATACTCAGGATGACGAACGAAGCGGCTCTGCGTATATGTATATGTACTTGGGTATGCAGATCCACCCGGTTTCACGAAAAAGGAGGGCCAGATAACGAAGCATATACGAGCTGGGATAACTCGTCGAAATTCGCGGCTCATTTGGTATTCGGTTGGGGGCGCCTTCGATTAGCCAGTGAACCGGCGATCGATCAAACCGGGCGCTTCTTCTCGAGTGAAGTGAAACAAAAAAAAATATATTTCCACCCCCCCCCCCCCCACCCCCCGGGACTAAATGCGTTATCTCTGCCACACTGGCTCACTCTCTCAAATCGAGAGGGAGATAGAGCCACCCCCTCGAGAGTGGGGAAATGGCGACACCGGCAGAGTGCGGCGAGTGGACGTGTGCACGCACAGTCGGACCGGTAGCTCACGCTTCAATTGAATCTACATAACAATTATTCAAGCGTGCACAATGCCCTCGACCCGTTGTATATATTCACTGTGCTGCTGAATTCGCTCTATCGTATACCACCGACATTTTTCGGCGGCCGTATACAGTACGAGCTATAGGAGGAGGGGTGTGCGGGGGTCGATTGTGCGCGCAGTGTATCGGCCCGGGCGAATGAAAACACAAGTTGCGAAAATTTTTCCGGCTTTCGCATGGAAACTCGGTAAAGGTGTACGAATACAGTCGTTGAAAAAAATGGGGGGAGGAGGGAAAAAAAGGAAGCGCGCCCTCGTTGAGAGTGTACACGGGCATTTTCTTTTTTTTTGTTCATTGGCAACCACACTGCGTTATTCTTTCTATTTTTTTTTTAAACCGAGGCTTTTGTTATCGCGGAGTTATGGCGGGTGGGTATCCGTACACGTGTGTATATATATTTACCGGGGGTGGGGGAAAAGGCTACATCGGGGAATCCAAAATATGCGGTATATCGCTTTACAAGGCTTGAAATTTTGTTTTTCCTTCGAGAGGAGTGGAATACATTATATATATTCTCGCGGTGAAATGATTCGACGCGTTTGCGTATATGATACGTCCACACGAAAGCTCAAACGGAGGGGTCGATCGTATCAAAACAGAGCCTCTCTCTGATTTGCGTATACACAACCGGATGAGATACGTTTACCTGATGAACTTTGCTTTGACCAACGACGAAACACTCGGTGCCAAAATCGCTGCAAACAACTCGTATCTTTCTCTCTTTGATCGACCAACTAGTCGGGGGTTGATTTCTATGCGAGAGAGCCCCGTCCGTCCGTCAGGTGTACACACAGCTTCTGGTTAACGGAAAAGAAAAAAAAAAAAAAAGGAAAGATAGCCAAGTTCTTTTTCTCCATAATATTCTTTTGCGCGCGCTGGTGGAGCCAGCCAATTAAGTAAACTCACGAAAGCTGATATCAAAAGCGCTCGATTCCTCTTCGAGGAGGACGCGAAATGCGCGCAGCCTCGCTTTTGTTGAATCAAATAACTCGCCTTATTATCATCCTCCTCCTCCGCTCTCGATGTTTTTCCCTCTAGAGAGGACCTCTCGACGCGAGGATCTGCTCGTTAAAGTTGTAAAAATATTGTTCCCTCCTTTTCCCCCGATGATCCGTGATTCGAGGGGGTGAAGTCGTAACGAGGGGAGTATCCGTGGCTGCGCGCCGTCGATCTTCGTTATGAGGGCTTCCTCGTCCGGCTATCTCTCAGCGTTTTTCATTTCCGCGCCGCTGCGGACATTGTCGCGACGCATCTCTCTTCCGACGAAAAATAAAAGGAAACTCCTCCCTCTCCCTTCCCAGTTGACAATAAGTATATAACGTCATCTCGCGTGGTGTATACGTATATGTAGGTGGTTACAGCTTTTCCCCTCGTGAGAAAGCTTTTTCGAGTGTGTGCCGCACTCGCAGCGATAAATCATACGCCTCGAGGGATACTTCTCACGTGTATGTGTACTTACAGAGAAGAGCGAGACAGCAAACCCGAAAACACTGTATTATCTTTGATAAATAACGCTTGGGGGATGTATTGTATATACACACGGAGCATCGGCCGAGCGCATCTCACGGGCTCACGAAATCTCGGCCCATTCCGAGATACGCATCTTCTTCTGTACCCGCTATCTGTACGCCGCGAGAGTAGTGGCTATTGTTGTGTTATTAAGGAAATCGCGTTATGGATGGTTTTTATGGTAAATTATTTCGGTCGTGTATATTTTGAAGCAAGAATGTATTGCGATGACACGGGATATAAACAAAAGGTCGACATTATGGTAGTACAGGTACTGATCGAGCACTTGATCTCATTCGATTTGTGGCAGGGGCAGCAACGTTTTCGTAGCTGTAAAATACTCCTGAGTTTTTCTATTTACGCTCGATAACTTTTTTAGATTGTTTTTGTACCCTACGGAACTGAATGCGCAACAGTATAAGTGTACTTTTGAAAGGCGGTATTTTTTTTTTCTCCAAAAACAATTTGAGTCAATTCACGAATTGTTCGTAACGATGAGCATTTTTTATTCCACGAAACAACGTACTACGCGAACATTCCATCCACGAAATTCATCTTTTTTTTTCCACAAAAACTGCAACAAGTAATTACTTTACGTAAGCCCTAAAAAACTAAATGTAAGAAAAAGAAAGAAAGAAAAAAAAAGGCAATACTCGGAAACGGCGAAAGGCTCACCGTGACCACATTCGGCACGTCTCGGTAATAATAGTAAAGGCACAATGGGTATAGGTAGTTTTGGGTTATCCAAAATTGCAGCCAGAAACAGCAGTGACGTCTCTGGGCAAACAAAAAGCATCATTTTCCAGGTGAGAGGGAAGTACATAGCAGTAAGTATAATTCCCAGTGAAAGCGAGCTTCCGGGTCAAAACTGCTGGCTAATGTACATATATACGTATAGCCGGCGAACACAGAGTTGATTTTCCCCTTTCCGTACACATTTTCCCCTTTGAAAAGCTCCAGTGCCAAGAGAGACAGCTAAACCCTGCTTTAATATCGTGCCCCGGCGAGATGTGTGTACCTTCGTACTTAAAACTCGAAATTTGTTGATTCTAACTTCGCATTAGCACCGCTGACGTTTCTCCGATGCTGGCACCGCTAGATCATACACCGTAATCCGTCCGAAATGTGACCGTACGTGGGTATACACACACACACACACACATGTGCACGGAAAGGAAAATATCGTCCCATTTATGACCGTGTTTTCTTTGCGCTATTGCGCAGCTGTATGAAAATCCATACATTGTTTCTCGCA